CACACACACACACACATTTTATTTTACATTGTTCATTTTATTTACACCTTTACTTAAACTGTACATGTATATTTCCAGTTTTAAATGGAAAAATAATATTTTGACCTTTATATATATATAGATATAGATATGAATATAAATTATATTATATTAATTATTAATATATTAATATAAATTACTATTATATTATAGTATCTATCTATCTATCTATCTATCTATCTATCTATCTATCTATCATATTATTATACATTATAGTGTATGACAAATTTTGGCTCACTTTAAACAATAATATACATACATTTTATTGTACATAATATTCATTTTATTTCACATCTTTACATATATCTATCTATTTACTGTTCTATTCATATATTATTTATTATAGCCTGTATAATTTATATATGAGCTACATTAATATACTATCTATCTATCTATCTATCTATCTATCTATCTATCTATCATATTATTATACATTATAGTGTATGACAAATTTTGGCTCACTTTAAACAATAATATACATACATTTTATTGTACATAATATTCATTTTATTTCACATCTTTACATATATCTATCTATTTACTGTTCTATTCATATATTATTTATTATAGCCTGTATAATTTATATATGAGCTACATTAATATAGATATCTGTAAAGTGATGTTCTACTCTGTTTGCGTGTCTGTGTGCGTCACTCTCGGTCATCATGGACTCGGTCGGGTCATTGAGCGTGTGTTTGTGTGAGAGGACCGTTGTGTCGGCTGAGAGGCTCATTGTCTCGGGCCGCGTCCCACACACTGGAGCTGTTGTCACGGACATCAGCTTTCATTCCCTCAGCTGTCTTGAGTCTGTAATGACGGCTGACGTTAAACTGAATTAACTCCCGCTCACTGCTGAGCTGCAGGAATCACGTCACAAGCAGGAGAAACATCTGACCGAAAAAACACTGTTTGGTCTGGGGCTCTTCTAGATCTTTAAGCTAAAAAAAATCCGTTTTGAGTTTTAGTTTTACTCTAAACTAAAATGATCATAATTTCTGTCAAAATACTACAGTTACTGAATTTATTGTGAAATCGTAAGAAATTAATATATGACCTCATTCAAAAAGTCTCGTAAGGTTTCTGAATTATTCTGTTTAATATATTTTTTGATGACAGTGGTTGATACCAAGTTAACAGTTTTATTTTAGTAACAATAACTGGACTAGGTGATGTAAAATATTAAATATTTTTCATTCATTGCTTAAAAGTGATTTTGAATCATTTAAATGATTTGGAATAGTTTTCTAACAAACTGAACAAAAGGGAGAATGGTATTTAAATATATATATAACTAAAACATTTTAATGTGAATTTACATTAAAAAATGAACAGAACAATAATAATAAATAAATTATAAATATATATATATATGTGTGTGTGTGTGGGTGTGTGTGTGTGTGTTTATATATACAGTATATATATATATATATATATATATATATACCTACAAACACATGCATATGCATACATTTTACTAAAATATTTCAATACATGAAAAATGCCAAATTTAATAATAAAAAAGGAAACAAAATAAAGTTTGATGATGCAAATGAATCTTGAACTGATTCACTTGAACAGACCGTTTGAACTGATTCACTGAAATCTATTAAACTTACTACAGTATGTCTACATTTGATATCAACAGCAAAATCATTGTATTCAGTTTATAAAAAAATGCCAAATTTAATAATAAAAAAGGAAACAAAATAAACATAATTTGATGATGCAAATGAATCTTGAACTGATTCACTTGAACAGACCGTTTGAACTGATTCACTGAAATCTATTAAACTTACTACAGTATGTCTACATTTGATATCAACAGCAAAATCATTGTATTCAGTTTATAACGAGTAGTAACTAGTCGTAGTTAGTTAGTGTGGCAGATTCTCTGGTTAGCGTTGTAAGTGTCTGATTTGTAATGCAAGTGATGCTGTTGTAAGGAAACACACATCTACCTGCAGAATGGTGAAGTTTTCAAGTACACTGTTCATCATGTATTTCTCTGGCAGATGTTTGAGTTTATGGATGAAGTTGATCATGTATTCACACAGCGGCGATCGATGGATCCTGAACACGTATCTGCCGTTCTCAAAGCGTGCGTACTCCGTCTGAACGACACACAGATGATTATTGTTACCTCAAGCTGAACACCAGTCACACAGACATGCCCTATAACACAATTATGATGACTTAATATGGTGATATATTTGCATACGGAGGGGATCTTTCTCCTGATCTGACCACTAATGTCATTTGATACGGCCTTTAAAACAATCAGATGGACCCGTGGTGTAAATAAGTTGTGACAGGTCACATCTATTCCTACCTCCACCTTTTCCACCACCTGTTTCCCAAACGAGCAGACTTTAGTGGAGGAGGTGATGATCATATTTTCTGAGCTCTCATACTGACTGGATACGCCGTAGAAGAAGCTGCTGTCGTCCTGGAGGTTGATGCTCAGATCCGCCTGCAGAACACAACACACACACCCGTCCAGAATCAACACACACATGTGGAACTCGATAATAACAGTAAAACTAAAAGAAAACTACTGTGATGGTTTACTGATAGTATCATATCGTGAATCTCTATAATAAAAGTAAAACATCTGTGGCAGTTCACTGATTGCATTGATATTGTTATATAATGTGACATAGTAATAAACAAATAGCATATTCATAGACTATAACGATTAAGAAGTACTTCAGAGAATGCCTTCAGGGAAGTGTCCCAAAAAACATGGTATTACTATAGCTTTCCCATGTATGTGTGTGTGTGTGTGTGTGTGTGTGTGTGTGTGTGTGTGTGTGTATGTGTGTGTGTGTGTGTGTGTGTGTGTGTGTTATCACTGCATTTAATTTTTTCAGGAAAAATGCATTTAAAACAAAAACCTGTTAAAACATGTCTGGATCACATTTCAACCCAAAATCAAAAAAGTTTGATTATATTTTGCATCAACAACATGCATGAAGCCTATTTTAATAACACTGAGATCTTATGTATTGTGACATTATTTTAATAAAAACTAAGCTCATTGTCATAATGCAAAAAAAAATCATATAATATAATGTTTTACATATTACCTATTATTTGTAAAACAAATATATTTTCATATTATTAAATATTATTATATTATTTATAACTATTTAAAATAAAAATTATATTAAATATATGTTATTTAACACAATTCCGTATTTAACAAGTTAAAAAAAATTAAACGTTTTTTAAACATATGAACTAAAATAGGTTTATATTTTATATATATATATATATATACAGTAT